CCCCCCCCCCCCCAATTAAACCCACGTGAGCTCCAGCCTCCAGTCACCCTTTCTTCCCTCCTTTGACAGCTGCTGTGGGGCCAGTACTGTCCCGCCACGTCTCTGGGGTCCAGAGGGGATGCCCCCGTGGTCCCCGTAGCCCCCTGCCCACAGGACCGTGCGTATGCGTGCTCGGAGAGAGGGACGGCACCAGGCTGCAGAAAGGCTGGACGCCGCCTGCAGGGCTGGGGCGGGCGGGGCTTCGCCAGAGAAACAGAACCGGCAGGAGAGTCTTGTCCTCTATCGTTGGGGGCGTTCGAAAGATGAGCCAGGGCAATTTTTGGATTTTCCCTGGGCTTCTTGTCAGAATTCCTTATTCCTCAGGGAAACCTTGGGATTGTTCTCCAGGGTTTTAGCTCATTTGAGGTGGCTTATCTCCGTTACTGAGAATAACCTTTACTTGAATTCAGTTGGGCATAGGTATGCGTCTTCTCGCCTTCCCAGCGACACCTAGCGTTGGCATAACTGGCCAAGCCGAACGAGAGACTGATCAGTTTAGGCGAAGGTACGGACGCTGGATCAGAGGGTATTGGAGGGGCAGGGAGGTCCCCTGAGCATCTGAATCCCAAGAGCTAAGGGGTGAGGTGGACACCAGTGGGTTTGTGGGCAGAGCGTTCTGGGCCGACTGGCGGAGATGAGCAGAGAGAGCTGGCGCCTACGATCAGGAAGCCAGGGCACAGAGGCTCGGGCCCAACTCTAGGTTTCAAGAAGGACATGTTGAACCCAGAAACAGACCGGGGGCCCTACCGTGTTCCTCAGAGAGCTCAATATAGATAGGGTTCCCGTGAGCCAACAAATCCACTCTGAGGTACATACCCCCAAAGAATTCTAAACAGGCCCAAACATGCGTGTATATCGCTGTTCACAGCAGCATCACGGACAGTGGCCAACACATGGACACAAGCCAAGTGTCCACCAACAGAAAAACGGATGTAAAAGTGTGGTGTGTTTGTGCCTGGAATGTTGTGCAGCCATGGAAGAGAATGTTCTGATACACGCTATGTGGGTCTAAAACCATGCTAACAATAGTGGAAACGATTGCTGGAGTCGGATTATCAAAGATTTCAGAGGAAAAATACACTGGGGACAAATAGTTACTTCATAATGACAAAAGAGTCAACTAACTGAAAGGGTGTAACGATCCTGAACTTGTATGCCCTGTAACGGTTCCCAAATACAGGAAGCAAAGGTTGTCGGTCAGGGAGAAGAAACATGCAAATTCGCAAAGTTGGAGATTTCAAAAGCCCTCTCTCCTTTACTGGTAGAACAAGAAGAAAATCAGTATAGAAGAGTTGAACCAAATGACCAACCAACTTGCCCTAATTGACATAGAACATTCCACCCAACCACAAATTCTTTCCAAATTCACATGGAAAGTACACCAAGATAGTACGCGTTCTGGGTCATAAAACCAGTGTCGGTAAGTTATAAAAAATCAACTTCTATAAAATATTTTCTCTAGTCACAATCAAATAAAATTAGCATCAGTGGCAAAAAGAGCTTGAGAATATCCTTGAGTGTTTAGAAACCAAGTAAGGACTCTAAAAACTACAAAGGCTAAAGAAGAAACTGGAAAAGAGTACTTTTTTGAACTGAATGAGAAAATGGCATACCTGCATCTGTGGTACTTGGAGAAGAGACCGCACGGAAGGCCTGCGGCAAAAAGGAAGTTTCTCAAATGAACTAACCTTCAGAAATTAAAAAAACAGAGCAAACGAGACCCAGACTGAGGAGAATAGTGGAAATAGTACACACCACAGTCCAAATCCATTAGATAAAATACAGAAAAATGACAGAAAATTAGTGAAACCAGAAGCTGCTTCTTTGAGAACCAATAATACGTAAACCGGATTGAACTGGAAAAAAAAAAACAAGGACACAAATTACCACCATCAGGAATCACAGAAGTGTTGTCGCTAAGATTCTACACATGTTAAAAGACTAAAAGGAATATTATGAACAGCTTAATGCCAAACAATTGGACGACTTAGATAAAATGAAAAAAGTCCACACAAGACGTAATCAAGAAGAAATCGACCACCCAAGTAACCCTACATCGATAGAAAAAAGCGAGTTTGTAGTGAAAAACCTTCCAACAAAGAAAACTCCAGACCGGAATGACAACTTTTCCTGCTGGAAATTTAAGAAAAAAACTATTACCCACTCTATCCAAACTCTTCTTGAATTTTGGAAAGGAAACCAGTCTCAATAAGTTCAAAAGAATTCAACTTACAGGATATATTTTGGGGACATGTTAGTCTGTTCATGATGCTCTAGACTGAAATTCATTTTCCCGCAGCTCTAGAGGCAAGGACTTCCAACATGAAGGTTCCTGCCAGTTTGGTCCCAGGTGAGGGCTCTCTTCCTGGCTTACAGACGGCTGCCTTGTTGCTGTGACCTCACCTGGTAGAGCACGAGCAAGGCAACAATGTACAACTCTTCTATGAGGCCAGCATTACTTTCATACAAAAGCTAACAGACATTGCAGGAGAACTGCAAATATCCATCATGATCACACACGCAAATATTCTATACAAAATTGTGGCATACAGAATCACATGTTAGAGGACAATACATCACGACCCAAGGGGGTTTATCCTAGGAATGCAAGGCTGGTTCAACGTTCAAAAATCAATCGATATAGGGGCGCCTGGGTGGCTCAGTCAGTTGAGCATCTGACCGGCTCGGAGCCTGGAGCTGCTTCGGATTCTGTGTCTCCCTCTCTATCCCTCCCCGACCAGTGCTCTGGCTCTCTGTCTCTAAAAAATAAACGTAAAAAAAAAAAAATTTTTTTTTAATCAATCAATATAATTCACCACATTCATGGCCAAAAAGGGATTATCCCACTGGGTGCAGAAAACAGCCTGTGCTGAACGCAGATGTACAAAACCCAATGCCTCCTTGTGAGGAAGCTCTCAGCTGGCTAGAAACAGGAGACCTCCCAAACCCAATGAAGGACCTCCATGAAAACTGCAGCTGCCACTGTTCCCAGTGGCAAAAGGGCAAATGCTCCCCCTGCAACCAGGAACAAGGCAGAGACCCACAGCCCCACCACCTCCAGTCAACGCCATGTTGGAAGCTCTAGTCAGTGCAGCAAGTCAAGGAGCAGAGATGAAAGGCGTAGAGACTAGAAGAGAAGAGATCAAAGTGTCCCTGCTTGCAGACAACATGGTCACCTTTGCAGAAGAGCTGATGGAACCCCACAAAAACCTGGACGTAAGAAGTGAGTTTAGCAAGACTGCAGGAGAGATCGGCATACTAAACCCCATCTCATGACTACATACGGGGGGGTGAACAGGCAGATGCTGATGTTAAAAAATCAATACTATCCACAACAGCATCCTCCAAGGAAGAAACCGTTCAGGATAAATATGATGAAGGTGCAGAAGGGTGTTTCCACCGCTGAGTAAGATCAGAGAAGGGAGTAGGGAGATGTGCTGTGCTCGTGGATTAGAAAACTCAATGTTAACATGTAAATTCTCCCCAAAATGACCTATAGGTTTTTAAAAATATTGTATTTATAAGCTGTCTCTACACCCAACATGGGGCTCAAACTCACAACCCAGAGATCAAGAGTCAGACACTCCACTCATGGAGCCAAATACAATCTCTATCAAAATCTGAACAGACTTTAGGAATTGACAAGCTGTAACAATCAAGACTGTGTTTATTGACATCAAGATACATAAGTAGATCGATGGAACAAAATAATTAAGAAATAGACTCACACGAAGGGGCATCTGGGTGGCTCAGTTGGTTAAGCATACGACTTCAGCTCAGGTCGTGATCTCACGGTTCGTGGGTTGAAGCCCCACGTCAGGCTCTGGGCTGACAGTTGGGAGCCTGGAGCCTGCTTTGGATTCTGCGTCCCCCTCTCTCTCTGCTCCTCCTCCACTCATGCTCTGTCTCTCTCAAAAATAAACATTTAAAAAATTTTTTAATAAAAAAAAGAATTGACAAAATTAGCCAGACTGATCAAAAAGAAAAAGGAAAGGACCCAAATAAAATCAAGAATGAAAGAGGAGAGATCACAACCAACACAACAGAAATAAAAAACAATAATAAGAGAATATCATGAGCAATTATATGCCAATAAAATGGGTAATCTGGAAGAAATGGACAAATTCCTAGAAACATATTCACTACCAAAACTAAAACAGGAAGAAATAGAAAATTTGAACAGACCCATAACCAGTAAGGAAATCAAATTAGTAATCAAAAATCTGCCAAAAAACAAGAGTCCAGGGCCGGATGGCTTTCCAGGGGAATTCTACCAAACATTTAAGGAAGAGTTAACACCTATTCTCTTGAAGCTGTTCCAAAAATAGAATTTGAAGGAAAACTTCCAAACTCTTTCTATGAAGCCAGCATAACCTTGATTCCAAAACCAGAGACCCCACTGAAAAGGAGAACTACAGACCAATTTCCCTGATGATCACGGATACAAAAATCCTCAACAAGGTATTAGCCAACCGGATCCAACAATACATTAAAAGAATTATTCACCACGACCAAGTGGGATTTATACCTGGGATGCAAGGCTGTTTCAATATCCGCAAAACAGTCAATATGATACATCACATCAATAGAAGAAAGGACAAGAACCACGTGATCCTCTCAATAGATGCAGAAAAGCATTTGACAAAATACAGCATCCTTTCTTAATAAAAACCCTCAAGAAAGTAGGGATAGAAAGATCATACATCAAGATCATAGAAACCATATATGAAAGACCCACCACTAATATCATTCTCAATGGGGAAAAACTGAGAGCTTTCCCACTAAGGTCAGGAAGAAGACAGGGATGTCCACTCTCGCCACTGCTATTCAACACAGTATTGGAAATCTTAGCCTCAGCAATCAGACAACACAAAGAAATCAAAGACATCCAAACCGGCCAGGAGGAGGTCAAACTTTAACTTTTCACAGACAACATGACACTCTATATGGAAAACCCAAAAGATTCCACCAAAAAAACTGCTAGAACTGATCTGAGTTCAGCAAAGTTGCAGGATATAAAATCAATGCACAAAAATCGGTTGCATCCCTATACACCAACAATGAAGCAGCAGAAAGAGAAATCAAGGAAGCGATCCCATTCACAATGGCACCAAAAACCATAAAATACCTAGGAATAAACCTAAGCAAAGAGGTGGGAAATCTATACACTGAAAACTATAGAAAGCTTATGAAAGGAATTGAAGAAGACACAAGAAAATGGAAAAATATTCCATGCTCATGGACAGGAAGAACAAATATTGTTAAAGTATCGATACTCCCCAAAGCAATCTACATATTCAGTGCAATCGGTATCAAAACAACACCAGCATTCTTCACAGAGCTAGAACAAACAATCCTAAAATTTGTATGGAACCAGAGAAGAGTCTGAATAGCCAAAGCAATCCTGAAAAAGAAAACCAAAGCCGGAGGCATCACAATCCTGGACTTCAAGATGTATTACAAAGCTGTAATCCTCAAGACAGTATGGCACGGGCACAAAAAGTCACTGGGGTCAATGGAACAGAATAGAGACCCCAGAAATGGACCCACAAACGTACGGCCAACTAATCTTTGACAAAGCAGGAAAGAATATCCAACAGAATAAAGACAGTCTCTCCAGCAAGTGGTGCTGGGAAAACTGGACAGCGACACGCAGAAGAATGAACCTGGACCACTTTCTTACACCAGACACAAAAAGAAACTCAAAATGGATGAAAGACCTAAATGTAAGACAGGAAGCCATCAAAATCCTAGAGGAGAGGGGCGCCTGGGTGGCGCAGTCGGTTAAGCGTCCGACTTCAGCCAGGTCACGATCTCGCGGTCCGTGAGTTCGAGCCCCGCGTCAGGCTCTGGGCTGATGGCTCGGAGCCTGGAGCCTGTTTCCGATTCTGTGTCTCCCTCTCTCTCTG